AATCACCACACTGTATATACTGAGAACGACATAAGAAATGAACAGTGCAGTTCATATAACCAGTGCTGAAGATGGAATTAGGAGAAAAGAAACCTGGCAATAATCTTTCTTTCCAGGCTGGTTTGCCATTGATACATTGCATGGGACACATCTTAAGGAGGTGAGGATTTTTTCCCCTAGGAAAAAAAATGGATAACACCTAAATATATGGATTTAAATACCCAAGAGAATAACTTTGTTGGTGAACTACAGTGGTGGTTCTAAATCCATTACTAAATGCTGAGTCTTGCCATGTATCACAATCCATTCCTAGTGGAATTTGTGACACTTTCTCCAAAATCTCCTGCCCATGGATCCCATCACAGAACACAAAAGGGTGATGAGGAAAAGATATACATTCTTATAAACTGCAGGACACCTTAACAGCTGCTGTGAAAAGCAGACAGGCAACAGCCCTGTAAAGCTGAATGCAAGCTGAAAAGAAGGTGCCACTTCAACAGAGAAATCTGTTTCATGACAGTTTTCTTTCACATATACTATTATTAAAAGGAAAGGTTCACCAAAGTCAATATTGAAATTTATTTTTCTACTTATTCATATCTACAAATACACACACCAGCTGAAATCCACTGCATTCATGGGTCTACATGTGCAGTGACAGAAAGTATCCAAGACTATTCCACACACTCTATACTAGCACTTTAATATGCACAGCTTGGCATGAAAAGAGCAGATATAAAACATACTCCACATGTAGGCTTGTGTTTTTCACATTAAGAACATAATTCCATGTGAAACAGAATTTAAAATGTAAACACTCGACTGTTTCCTCACAGTCTGTTCCATCCTGGCTGTTCAGCATCCCTCCCTTAAAGGCCAGAAGTTTCACACATGGGAGTTTCAAATGCCCAGCAGACACAATGGAAGCTGGTTTTTCCAAGATGATCACTGTACAAAGAGCTGACATCTTTTGATGTCAGTCTAACTTAATAATTTGTTGTGATTTCCAATGCAAGCTATTTTAAAAAACATCTTCCAATGGAACTCAGAAGATTTTGGAATAAATTTTTTTAGAACTGAAGCATTATTGATAGCTTGTTTCCAGGATTAGATACCACTTTATCATTGAGATATTTGGCAGCAGATTTGTATTTATTTAGCTAACAAATCATAAAATACAACCAATTCTTCAGTCTCAACCTTATCAAACACTGATCAAATGGCAGCAAAAGCCTTGATTGTTGTGAAAAGCTCACTATTCCTGTCAGAGATATTCTTCATTTTCCTCTGGGTACAAGAGGAAGTTTTTGCAGAAGAGGCTGTGAATCTACAAAAACCATAATGATCAAGCTCTTTGCTCATAGATTAGTCAAAACCAAAGACTGAAACACACAAATTACAGGCCTTATCTTGCTCTAACTTCATTTGAGGAAATCCTGCTGTTTTTAACAGCATTTGGGTAGTAGCCTGCTTTTACTGGCTTATTTATCAATTTGTGCGTTTACTTGCACCAAAAAAAAGGAATTCAATTAAATAATTTCTATGCTTTTATTTTGGAAAAAAATCTCCATACTGTGTTCTTTAACTGTTATGTGTTAGTCATACTTAAAGAAATGCTACCAGAGGAAGATTGCCATGGCCAGCCTTTCACCAAAGAAAGATTTTAGGTAGCAAATCCTGTAAGTCCCATTAGAATTTGTATCTTAATTCTGAAGGCACAGCACTATCTGTATAATATCAAAATAAGAATGCTGAACTCAGAGCACACCTTTAAAATCAGAACACTGAAAAGACTAAACAACAGCACTTATCACTTTACACGTAACCACTCTAGAAAAAAACACTGAACAAATTACTTGCATCTCATTCATTGGGTTTATACTCAACATTGGAATGCCAACCGGAATAAAATTCTCATTTTTCTGTATTATTTACCTCAAGAACTAGCCAAAGCTGGTCTCCATTTTTCACATCTTTCTTATAGTACATGCCGTAGAATTTGACTACATTGGGATGATCAGAGAGAGCTTTCAAAATGTTGTACTCAGCTTCAATTTCTTCATCAATATCCTAATGTCACAAATGAGAAATACATAGTTGTTAATAAATTAATAATGATAGCCATTTAAAAAAAACCCAACACATAGCATTTTCTGGCAATTTAAATGTAGCTTTAAATGATACAAAGGAAAAAACAAACAGAACATGAATGTACCATTTAGAGGGCTACAAAGCTTAGTTCTGTTCACTCAGTACAAAACAGTCATCTTTTTTTTTAATTTTGTCTTTATCAATTTCAACTAACAAACATACGGGGTATGACAGAGCAGCTCTCAGGAAAATGGGGAAGGAGCAAGGGGCATGTGGACAACAAGCTGTCCAGGAGCTAGCAGTGTGCCCTTGTGACCAAGAAGGCCAATGACATCCTGGGGTGCATTAGGAAGAGCATTGCCAGCAGATCAAGGGAGGTGATCCTGTCCCTCTAATCAGCCCTGGTGAGGCCACATCTGGAGTGCTGTGTCCAGTTCTGGGCTCCTCAGTACAAGAGTGACATGGAGCTCCTGAAGTGGGTCCAGCAGCGAGGGACAAAGACTATTAAGAGACTGGAGCATCTCTTACAACAAAAGGCTGAGGGAGCTGGGCCTGTTCAGCCTCAAGAAGAGATGACTGAGAAGGGACCTCATCAATGTCTATAAGTATCTGAAGAGAGGGTGTCAAGAAGATGGAGTCAGGTTCTTCTTGGTGGTGCCAAGCAATAGAATGAGAGGTAACAGGCAGAAACTGATGCACAGGAAGCTCTACCTCAACATGGAAGAAATTCTCTACTGTGGTGAGCCAAAGTGAGTGAAAACTGGAACAGCTTGCACAGAGAGGTTGTAGGCTCTCCCTCACTGAAGATGTTCAAGAACCATCTGGACACAATCCTGTGCAATGTGCTCTAGGATGACCTTACTTGGGCAGGGAGGTTGGATCAGATGACCCACAGTTGGTCCCTTCCAACCTTACCCATTCTGTGATTTTAAGGCAAAGACAGTGGAATCCATAAGCGGGTAGATACACAGATGCCTTGGGAAGTTACTTGTTACTGCGTTAGTCTTAAGGGTATCCCCAGCTAGAGATGGTGTAGTTGGAATTACCTCTCTACCTCTCTGTGCACAAAGAAGTATGATTGCAGCCACATCTTACTCATTTACCGTCCCACTTTCTAGAATTATCTGCAAGTTTTTTTTATTTTCCACTGTCATAGAAGCTGGTGACATCCATTATTTCTCTGGGGTTTCCTACAGAACTATAAGAGTTGTGGCTTTTTGTCAGTCTTTCCTTATACACCTCAGGTTTCTTAGAGAGTGAGGGAAATCCATTTGGAGGTGAGAGATGAAGACAAGTTTTGCCAACACGTGCACCAAGAGCTGTGCAAACCCCTTCAGATCAAATATGGATGCCAACAATGGAAGGCATTGGATGACTCAGGTAAACCCTTTTCACCTATGTGCTGGAGTTGCTCATTGAGGGACATGATTAGATGGTATTTCAGTCCTGCTGAGAAAATACTCAATCCCTCCTGACCATAGGAGGCAGAATAGCTGCAGTCGCTTTCCCTATTGGTTAGATCTCAGGAAATGTTAACATACTTGTTTCCAGATTTAAAATATTTTTAATACAATTTGCTATTTACAACTACACAAAAAGAAATGAAAAATCCATTCTAGACAGGGGTTACCTTGTGAATTCCATTATCCATATTGAGTGGATTTTGTATCGATGAAAAGCATCTACTCAGTGCCAAAAACCTGTCTCACCATTGCCAAATAGAAATGACCATGGCAGAGAAAGGGGACGCTTTGTTTTTCCAGTGAATGATGCTCCTTCTCATTCTGTTCAACCCATCTGCCCCAAGAGAACTTTGCTCACTTGCTTCTTATACGTCTCTTCAATATCCAACTCAAGTTCCTCATACAAGCCCTTTGTCTTGAGACCAGCTTGATTGGTCTCTGAGAAATTTGTCACTCACCAGCATCTTCAGGAAACAGGCTATTAAGCTTTCATATTGAGACTACAAGAATAAGTTTTCTCACAAGGAAGGGTTTTAGCGATCTTGTTGTTGAATTAACCGAAAACCAGCAGAAATTTTCATCTTTCAAAAAAAGGAGGTACTCACTTCAAGTTAATTTTTTCCATAAGCACAACACAGAAAAAAAAATACAAGCAAGGAAGGAAGAAAGAACCAAGGTACTGAAGATGGCAGAGGACAGAAAGAGAAAGAGTGGAAGCAGGGATGAAGAGAGAAAGCTCATCTGGCAAAAATAAAAGAAAGAAAAAACTGAAAAAAATACAGTCAAAAGCAAAGAAACTAAACACAAAACATACAATATTTCTGACTGCCTTGGGGAAATAGGAAGAAAATTAGCCCACTGTCCTACTCTGATTTAATAGAGGTTTCTGTCTCCTGAGGGGTACTCAGAATTTATGAGACTTTTACAATTATAAGGAGAAACTACATGAATATTCATTCTGTGCCTACTAAAAATAAAAATCTTCCTCTGTATTTTCTGAAGGAAGAAAACTTGAAAGGTTTGGTCGAATTTAATATATTTACCTGCATAAAAGTATCTCTACTAGAAATGGTAGAGTGAATATTTTCATCCTATATATAGAATAATCTGGCTAAGAGTTCTAAAGTACAATGGTATTTACTTATAGTCCTCAGGACAAGACTGAGAGTTTCTCAGTTCCATCTTCATATATTCTTATTTCAACACCTTCACTTTCCTGTTTCAGTTTCAAAAAGCTGAGCTGTTATTCAACAAAAAGAATCTGAGCTCTAAAGGATTAAATATGAAATGCTAATTTTAGTCTTATGTCCCCCATGATAATGTAGGTTCCCAGTTTAATTTGGAAATATCAGTTAAACCAAGTCCTATAAAACCACATTTCCTCTGCTTTATTTCCAGTCCACCTCTCAAGTGGCACAATTCTGAAATCATCTTCAAAGAAAAAAAATGTAAAATGTAAAGAAAATACATAAAGTATCTTTTTCTTCACTGCAATGGCTCCCTCTGCAGCCGTTAATAATACTTTCAGTTTAAACAAAAATATTCTGTTTATTGCTTTCACCCTATTTCTAACATAGGATTGCCATTTTAGCAGTAAAATGGAGGTACAGCAGCTACTCCAGACATCCTGTAAATAGAAGGGAGAAAAGAATAGTATTCTTAGAATAAAAAGAGTAATACATTTAGTTAAAAGAGTCAAGTCTTGGAGTGTGACGTTGACTGTATTACTTCCATTTTTTCATTAAAATAAGGAATCCGTTTTCATCAGTTTTACTTTTGTCCTTCTTCAATTTCTTATTGCATCTTTATCTGTTCTATTTCTTCCATTTTCTTTACATTCTATTCTTTTTTTCCTTCTTAATCTATTTCTCTTTCCTCTAGCATCAGCCTTACTACCTCTTCTTTCTTCCCATCATCATCCTTTAATCTTTTCCTACAACCTCGAAAGTGTACACAACATTGAAATTTTTTCTGATTCCTTCAGTAATTCCTGCCATAGCCAGCTGCCACTTAAGAAACATTCCTGAACACTTGTGAAACACATGAAAGCGGAAGCATTTCCTGCTAAACAGGCATTTAGCAAACACCAGTGGCAAGAAAGTCCTGCCTATTCATTGTAAGTACAAGAACCTTGTTTACAGAAAGCAACAGAGTCAGAAATAGTTTCCAATGCATTTGAATTCATCAAGACCCTTATCGCTCGGCTGCAAATTATGTTTACTTGGGGAGAGGTATGTGGTATTGAATCGAGATGAGCATCCTTTTGCTGCTCTGAAAGCATGCTGAAATAAAGAGCAGATCAACCAAAAACACAGCAAAGATAATTCAAGACACTATGTTTTCACCAACACATTTCATGGACTTTCAGGCCATGGGATCATAATTTGACACTCCGTGTGTTATGCAGAGGTAGACAGAGCCCTGTGTGGCTGTGCAACTCCACAACTGCAGGGTTCCACATGGCATGACGTCCTCTTCCCTTCCTGCCCAGAGGTCATGCAATCGAAGCGCAAGCCTCACAACCAACAAATGTCAGTTATTGAGAAAAAACTATATTCTACAACATAATAATTCCACCTCCCAGTCATCTGGTGCTTTGTGTGTAGGAGCTACTACCTTTGCATTCTTACAACAGTAAGAATAGAATAAGCTAGGACTCCTAGTACTTCGAAGGAAAATAATCAGTTCTGCTTCTGAAAATAAGAGAGAAACAAGGATAAACCAAAGTAAAAGTAACACAGTTTAGGTATACTTCTGACTTGTACCAATGCAACTATTTCAAAGATCGCTTATGATAAGAAAAAAGCATTGATAGCTAGCCTGATACTTAGCAGGCTGAAGCAGTTTATTTCACTGTCACTTCTAATGCAAATGATCTACAAAGATAAAGAGAAAAAAAGACTACCTAAACTCACAAAAAATAAGCACAAACCAAATAATTTAAGTAGCTTACGTGAACAGGATCCAAAATTTTGACTGCTGCTTTGCTGCCATTTTTCTTATTTAACACCTTGAAAACTTTTCCATATGTTCCTTTGCCAATAGTCTCGATTATTTCCCAGGTATCTGAAGGATCAGGAAAGCTATCAAATATTATTGTTTTCCCAGTCAACGGAAGCATCTCAAACGATGGCTCCTAGGAAAAAGAGATCTCAATGTCCACTCAACAAATGGTTAATAGCAATTTGGTTCCTATGAATGTGAAGAGAAATACACATTCTAGTCTCAAACACTAGAAACGTTTTTGTATATAGTGTGCATGCACAGCAAGCATAATGAACAAGAACGTAATACAGGTATATGCAGTCAAGATAATATTAAATGAAGGGAAATTCAAATGAAAATTTGAACCAATTTCAGGCTTGAGTGAAGCCTGTGGAAGCTTCCCCATGCACTTCAAGGAAAATATAATGCCACTAGGATTTTGGGAGGGCAGGGGAATGAGAGTCAAGTTCATAAAATCCCAAAGAATTTGGCTCCATTACCAAGAAGGGCAAGAAGGGGAAGAAAACCCACACAAAATAAAACATCTTAAATACTAGCATTAGGTTAATTCTAATTTTTTCAGCAAATAATCAGTTTTATAATCCTTCTCTTAGCATTTGAATTATTATATACATCTCATAAGGCCAAGCAGATCAAAGTGGCAGATCTCTTCACAATACCATGGTCTTCTGACAGTCAAGGATTCACAGCCATGGAAAACATGTTTACCAATGTACATACATTAGCAACTGATTTATGTACTGTAAAGGAAACACCTTTTACAATGATGGAATTGTATCCATCACTGACCAGGTTACACCCACGCCCTAGTAGATAATGGATACAATTCACTTACACCAGGAAACCTAGAGCAGTTCGTTGTGTACTTGGTAGTGCACCCAGTCCTGGCCCATCACCATGATTTCAAGTACTGTGGGAACAAAATGACCCAATTTCACCTGCAACAACGAAACCTCCCTCAACTCTACTCCAGGGTAAAGTCAAAGTAAAGATAGAGGATCAAGATCCAGAGACACATAGATGCAATTACTAAATCCTCAGTTTTCCATTCCAGATTAAAAATTTGCTTCCTTCTTCTGTCTAACCCTCCCCCTGGGATTCACATAGACTCAACCCAGTCAGGACAGTGACTTCACTCTCTTCCTAAGGCATTACCTTTCCATCTTATGCCTAGTCTTTATCCATGCCTTGGGAACTTCACCACTTTCAGGAGAACTATTTCTTCCCCCAAAAAAGAACACAAATGAGTTACATAATTTTTTAAAATTTCTTTTTCTTTTGCCTTTAAAGTAGTGCTCAAATACAATCATTTTGTTGGGGTTTTTAATCACTTCATATATAAATGCTTTGTAATTAGCTCATATTTGGGAATACACCAAACAATAACCAAATTTGGGTTGATAAAGGGGATGATAAAGGGATTAGGATGCATAATCCCAAACCCTTGCTTCAAGGGATTCAATACTAACGGAATTTCAAAATTTCTTTATCTGAGCTTTAGTTTTTAGAATTGAGGCTAACTATTTTTTTAAGGTTTTACTGTATATGAAATCTGTAACTAGTGATTTTTTCAAGAGAAAAAAAGTAAAAAGCTATCAATAGGTGCCTTCATAAGAATGGAGGCATCCAAATCATATTGAAACCTCTCAGCACACAGGCTATTTTCTACAGAATATGTAATTTTCCATCAAAATCTAGGGCCTGCTATGTCTCTCATTACAAGAAAACACAGGAGCTTCTGACCCAGTTTACAGCAGAAGATATGCAGAGTTGAAGAAAGGAAGATTTATCTTCTCCCCTTCAAAGATGAGCATTTAGGATGCGGGAACTCAAAGAACAGTTTCATATATTTAGCCTGTGCCAGAGCCAAGCAGGAAACTCTGATACCTTCAATCTCCAAATACACCCCTAAACAAAGGTCCACCTCTCTGCACAGATGTTTTATATCAAGCAGAACATTCTAAGAAAAAAAAAGGTACCAAACCTACAGTTTCAGACAGGCTTCATTAACTCCCTATATTATGACAGTATACAGCTGAAATCCATTGACTTGCAGTATCAATTGCTTATTTGTCTGCAGAGACTGGTACAATGAGAACTGTTAAAGGGCTGAGGAAACATGATCCTACAGGTGCTATTTGGCTATCAGAAAAAAGTGCTAGAGAAACTGCCATATGCTTGCATTTTTCTCTGAAAATCATACCAGTTGCACATCATCTTGTCTCAAGAAAAGTCACCACATATCTCACAAAACATGCATTCAATAGCTGTCATACTTAGTTCAATAATTTAAGAGTGCTAGTCCAGAAAGAATTAGTGAGAATAATTCTTGCTTTTGATTTAACAGCTTCAAAATCATAACTTGAATAAATTATACTGAACACTGTGTTTCCTCACTTTCACCAAGTTTAAGAACAAGCCCCTGGAGATAAATTGTTTAGCTTCCACTTCTATTATTAAAAATATATTAAATAGAATGATTTAAAGTGTTCTGTTCTGGGTGATGAATAATGTTTTATTACATCTCACTGAAGTTGAGAAAGCTGATAATCATTTAGCCTCATATTTCAGCAATAAATTGGACTGTCTCTGGAATATGTCTGGATGTCTAACCACCTAGATATTTTATCATACCCCTCGCCATTCAAATTTTACTTAAAAAACACCACAACTTACAACTTGATCAAAACCTCTAAGTTGGGAATGTACCCTTGAACCACTAGGAAAAAACCCTTTGAAGTACTTCTGTTGTGCTCAGCGTGACAGTTCACTTCACTTCTGCTCAGATTTTGGCTAACCTGGCTCCTGGTAAGACCTTATGCATGCTGGGAACACTGTCAGTACTTCAAAGCAAGAGCACCAAGTAGACTGACAGGTGGCCTGAAAATGCTCAAGACCAATTATGCACCATCATCACTGGCAAATCTGTCTACTATTAGCTTTCCTACTGCACTTTCCCCAGAATCTGCTAACTTATGAAAATGTATAGGACCTCCAAGCCGGATATGTAAAAAACCGTGTCCAAGCTGGAAGGTATAAAACATCAGCTTACCCCAAAAGCTTTTGAAGCCAATCCAACAGCAGCTGGACTGCTGAGGCTCTCCTGCTGCTTGGTGTGATACAGGGGACACCCGCACTGTAACTGAGGAGCAGGGATAAGCAGTCTCTTACCCCCAGCTAGGTTTTATTCTTTTGTGTTTGCTCATAAGTTCATGAGTTAAGAGTTATGGGTTATAAGTTATGAATACTTACAGCTTGAATGGTGAATAAATTAATTCACATGATAGACTGACCTGCTCAAAAGGGGGTTGAGCCCTGTTTGTTGTGTTTGTTGCAGTTCTCATGAAATAAAGTTTAAATCACAGAGTACACTGTCCTGTAAATTTGAGAGAGCCAAACAGACTGTGACACAGTGATCAAATTAAGGGTATTTGGGGCAGGGAAAAAATAGATTTGGAGTTCCAAGACAATAAGCCAATGTGGTTGGGGTTTTTTTGTTTTGGTTTGGGTTTTCTTTTGTTTGTTTGTTTGTTTGTTTGGTATTTTTGGTTTTGTTTTTTTTTCCCTGAGAGGGGGATCTAGTATCAGTTATAAGAAAAAATTGGGTGAGAATTCTTATGAACCAGTCCTATATAATTTTTTTGCTTCACATCAAACATACACACCCTATGCAGCAGACCTCAAGCCACGTATTAGAGATATCCAGAGATGCCCTGCTCAGCATCCATGCTGGCAGACAACTGCATTCTCCATCATTTTCAGTATCTAGTGAGTTTGGAAAGGGAAGGGGAAGGCTCATGAAGAACGCAGTATATCTCCTGTGGACTATCTGATTGCTGCAAAGGCAATTCAATTAAGTACATTTATCACACCCAAAGCTTCAGACACAAACCAATTGTCCTGTGGAAGCTTTACAGTCAAGACCACAGAACATTACAGACAACACCATCAAGTGGGAATAAGCTTATAAGTTTGCACTGAAAGCACAATGGAGTCTGAATTTCACATAGAATCCTACATGTTAATCCAATATTTTTACTACTGTTTCATATCACCTAAGTGTGCAACTTCTCTCTAAACCTTTCCTCCCAATAGTTTCTGAATGGACCTTCATCTCACTTGGATGAAAAGATACCCATTTCCTCCATAAGGAGCTAATGAAACAAGAGAGGCACCTTGCCTCATATTATTCATCTTTCTCCACAAAGGGAGCCTACATGATTAGCAAAGCAGACACATATTCATATATAACTACAACGAATCCAGCCTTTAGGTTCCTATCAGCATCTTGTCTCCTGGCTACCACAATCTTCTTAAAGTCTTGAAAACTGGAACCAGTTCAAAACAGACCTACTGAGGTCATCTTTTGTTTTATTCGTCCACATCGCTCTCTCCTTCACATTGCAAACATCACTTGTGTCTAAACAGATAGCTCCTGCACATATCCTACCCTGTAATTTGCCAGACATCTTCACATATGCCATGACTGGTAGATGTCAGGTGCCAGGAACACTAGCTCACATTGCCTGTCAGGTCTGTTACCTCTCTGTATGTGACACTTGCACTCCCTCAGATTGTGAAATTCAAGTCTCTTGTCTAACAGATGCCAGAAAAAATAATCACCCTAACACAAAAAACCCCAAACAAAAAAAAACCAAACAAACAAACTCCAAACCCCAAAGAAACAAAAAAAAGACTGATAAGGCTTGTTATATCCAATTAAAAAAAACACCTCACCTCCCTTTTTCACCACCTTTATGACCTTTATCCAATATCTAATTTAGAAGTTCTTTGGTCTGGTACTGATCACAAAGCACAGTGAGGCCCTGAAATGCTTAATGTAACGGCACAATAAAATCCAAAACCACATTTCTTCTTATTTCATGAGTTTATGCCACACTGGCAAATACTTAATAAGAAAGTTAAAGGTACGGAATTCTCAAAACAAGCCAAGAGCATGAGGCTACAATATGCCCTTCATCATACTAGCACCTAGAAATTTCTGGTTAAATGTCCAAATAATTTGATCATTCAATTTAGAGCATGGATTGCAGCTCAGATTCTCAGCTTGTATAAATGTAGCTGTAATGAGTAATTTATGCAGTATATTATCTTATCCATCATTCAAAGAGTAAGTTTTGCTCTGGAAATTCCAATATCACTCCCAACTAATTCTGGGGGAATATCTGGCCTCCGATTTCAATGATGATACAACCTATATCTGAATGGGAACTATACTCAAATCTAAGCTCAATGTGAGCAGATTATCTAGTTTGGCAATTAGTTAAAGACAAGTGTTTGAAACACAACAGGGTGGGTTTTTTACTGAATTTGTCAATAGCTCAATGCACTTAGCATTATAATTTCACGCATGTGTCTATCTGAATTATCCTCTTTGACTGCACATCAGTTGGCTTACTACTTTCCACTCTATATATTCCACAGTGTTTTCCCAGAACTAAACAATTGTCCTTCCCATCTGCAAGAAACCTTCCATTGGGGGGAAAAAAAAATCTCTTTAGCCCCAGCTGTAGTAGATGAACAGTAAAAATCAACAAACTTTTCTAATAGTCAGTCCATTTCTTTCACTGTTGTGTGCTTACGTGAGTAAGAAAGACACAAGTCACATCAGCTTCGGTGAGCTTCACCTAAGGTGGTGTGTAGAATACACATATTGGAACCTAAACTAGATGCTATGATTTCATTTTAGTCAGTCAAAGCAATCAAAATGATTCACCTGAGCTGCTTAGTATCTATCTTAGGATAAAACACTTGGTCTTCAGACCCTGTTGATTCTACTGGCTAAGTTTCCATTGACTATGAAAGGAACCCAGCTATACATCTTCAGTTGCAGACATGTTAGATGAAATGAATTCTATCCTACTTAAATGCTGGAAACAAAGAGTTATAGCTTGACAATTGACAAAATGAATATCAGCCCTATACTACAGTTGGGAAAACTGCAAGCCAGCCACATCTTATGACCTGAAAGCTGTCAAGCAACTTGGATGTTTTCTGATGATGCACAGAAAAGGTAAGAACCATGCAATGACATTGCCAAGCAAACTTTGAATTCAACAATGAAACCCTAAATTAATGTGAATGCAGAAATAAATGGTTACTTAAAGCATTTGGTGGCAAGGAGTGGTGATAAATTTAACCCAGTATCAGACAATATATTTCCTGGGCACAATTCAAAGTATATATGTCAAACTTAGGGCTGTTCAAGGAAGAAACTGATCCAATTTTGAGGCCACTTTTTAGTGTTTACTCTCTGAAAGGCTGGGTAACTGCTTCTTCTGTAGACACTTTTTCTCTGCTGACATCCAGCAACAACTTTCCCAACAAGGCAAGACAGCTTTCAGAGACACTTGATGCCTCTGGACTCCTTGACCTTTGTAAAACTTCTACATGCAGTAGAGAAACAGTACTGTGTGGTACTGGTACCTGATCTCCTTCTACTGATAAATGCATATTGGGTGTCCACACTGACATTTCATCTGCTGATTATTATTCAGCTGATCATGACATTTTGACTTGCTGCAGACTGAACTGGCCAGCCCTGGTCATGGGAGGCTCCAGCTCTTCACTCTCTGAACATTTTCAGGGGGCACAGATGCAAGAGATCTACTTCAGTGTTAGGTTCCAACCTTGGTTTTCTTCCATTCCCTGCCATGCACCACAACAGTCAAAGTCCCACTGCATGCTGAGGTTTACAGTTCTCAGGAAGCTCCATTGGAGGAGGGTTCTTTTAAGAAACACATTAAACGATCAGCAAGGGCTGTAAGCATTCAATCTAACCTTGTGCATAGGGGCTACCCATTGGATGACAATCCTTCAGAGTTTAAACGTGACACCAGTACAGCACCCCAGCTTTTTTTAAGACAACTTTTAGTTAAAGGAAGAGGGTATGAAAAGAACATAGAAACAAAATGCTAAATTTAATTACTGTAGTCAATTCTAAAAGCTCTGATATTTTGAAAACAAATGAGAGCTAAAGATTTTTTTGGCAATTGTCATCCAACAGATAATATTTATGCAGGGGCATTACAATAATGAAAATAAGATTAATAACAGAAGGGGGAATGGTTCATTATCAAATTGTATTTGGACTTTGTGCCACCAGAAGTGATGAACTGACACTAGTAATCCATGAACTGAATAATATCCAGCTCATTTTGTGGCTCCCAGAAGAGAGGCAATGCAAGTGATGAGAATAATTTTTCAATGACTAAACACTAGATCAATATATTAGCAAATAACTTAGCTTTCAAAGCTAAAGCATCACTCAATTTTCCTGTTTTAACACAGTAAAACTTTATAAGGCCATAAAAATCAATGTGCGACCTCACTCCTTATTTCTCAGAACCTCTAACAGCAGCGAAGTGGCAACTCAAAATTAATTTAGCAGCTGTATCAATGAGTTTTGGCAGGGCTTGATATTAACGTGACATAGTCATTTGATAGTAAGATGAGGAAGGCATTATAGACAACAAGAAAATTTGCTAGCACTTAGCATTATCAAGTAAGAAGTTACGGGGTGTGGGTGTACACTGGGCACGGTAAGAGTTCACGAGTGTCCTGCCGAGGCCACGGTCACGCCACAGTCCCACGCGTCCCTCGGGCGGGCAGGGCTTTGCCCTGCTCCGGGAGCGCCCGGCTGGTCCCACCGCGGGCACGACGCACTCCAGGCATCGCTCCCGACTACTCCGTACGCGTTCCTTACCCAGAAACTCATTCACAAGAAAAGAAAAAAAAAAAAAAGGAAAGAAAAAAAAAGGTAGAAACAAGCAGGATTCACCTGAACGAAAGAGCGCAAGGGCCAACCCGCACCCTCACATACCCAGTGCCGGGACCTCCCGGCTCCGAGGAGCCCCCGCCCGCCCGTCCCGTCCCGTCCCGTCCCGTCCCGTCCCGTCCCGACACCGCGGCTGCGGCGGGAGGCACCGGCCAGTCCCGGGGCCGCGCCACCCTCGGGGGCCGGGCCACCATCCCGGGGGGGCCGGGCCGTCCCGAATCCTCGGTGAGGCGTGGCTCCGTGGAGAGACCCTGCTCAGCCGCCGGCCCCGGGTCTACCCCGCCTGCCCTGCCCGCCGCTCCCCGGCCGGGGATTACCCGCAGCGAAAGCTCCGGTCCCCGCAGAGCCAGCCCCGCAGAGGGGGCCGGGGCCGCGCCACCGCCGGCGGCCGTGCCTCGGGTTCGCCCTCCTCCTCCTCCTGCGGAAGGCCCCGGCCCGGCTGTGGTCCTGCCTCGGGGTCAGCGGCGGATGAGCGCTTTGCCCCGCTAATCCCCCGCAGGCGCCGGCAAAGCCGGGAGGGCTCGGCCCGCCCCGGGCAGGGCGCGGCGGGGGCGCCGGGGCGGCCCGGGCTCCCCTCCTGGGGGGGAGCGGCGGCTGCGGAGCCGCCCCGGGCCACAGGCACCGGGGATCCCGGGCCACGGCCACCGGGGATCCCGGGCCGGCCGCCTTCGGAGCCAGGTCACAGCCCTCACACCCTGATCCGCCCCACGGGGATTACACGGCACCGGGCGGCCCAGAGAGGCCGCGATCCTGGCACGGGAGAGCTGCAGCTCGTGGCCCTGGGGCTGCCCATGGCTGCGCTGCCCTGAGGAAACCTAATGGACCTACCTGGACCGCTAAATATAATTCAGATCTGGTGCACGCCCTGAGCTCACGTTATTACCCCTTTCGGGGGGGTGACTACACAGCAGCAGCGCAATATAAGTGTAATAATAGCAAGGTGAAGTTGCAAGACAAAGTATTCAAAAGTTGGGAATTGGATGAATTTTATTAGTGCAGCTTCTATGGGTACAAGAGGACTTTAATTATGCTGCTTAAGTTTTCTTTGGAAGATCCCTTGCACATTCACTGTAAAGAGGCAGCCAATCTCAATCAGCACCAGGGATCATGTCCTTCGTCAGAGACTTCTGCTGTTGGATTGTTTGTCTCTCTCCATTTTTCTAGTAGTATTTAAATCTTGTTTTTATTTTCAGACAGGTCTGACATTAGGGGAGCTGTTTCAGAGCTATCTATGTTCTATGTCTTCCACAAAAGCAGAGTAGACACTAGGTTCATGGATGGCCTTTCCATGTGAATGTGTCTGTAACAGGAAAGGCTGCTTATTCCGCCCCAGACATCAAAGAATTCACATGGACAAGAAACCTTATAAAATTCCTCACTGTGGGAAAATCATCAATAGAAACTTCTTAAACCCCAAAGCTAAACAGCCAGGAGCCAGATATATATAAGGACGAGAGGCCTCTTCAATTTCCCTCATCAAAGCACTACTACTTTATTGTATAAAAAGATTTTTAGACAGTGTGCTGCATTGTGCACATAGACATTTAGGAGGAAGAAGTTAAGGTCCCATATAGCCTTTATTAACTCCTTTTGTTGCTAGCTGTTCATAACTTTTAGCTTTCATAACTGTTCCTCCTCTCCTGGAGGAGACCCTATAAAAATACAAAATGAGCTTCCTAGTTTTATAATCCCATTTTACTAATTGGAGTTGGAAGCACTGGCAAAATAGGGCCTCAGTTATAAAAATATCCATATCTTTTAGGCTTGAACAACACTCTGCAAAGCTTCCCCCTTCCTGAGCAAAATTCTTACTGCTTTTTCCTGTGTTTCGGAGTGCCTGGCACCCCACTGTCTTCTGGCTGCGTGTCTGGTGGATGGCAAGTCACATGCAGAAGCATGACAGTCTAATCCTCTGATCATGCAAAAGTTTGACCCGAGTTTGATCAAAAAAAGGCTGAAAGCCTCTCAGTGGAAACCCAGGTAGAAAAAGGGGTTGGTGGGCACTCGTACCTCTCCTCCCAGGCAGAGCTGGCATGCATCTGAGACCTTGAGCAAGGAGCTGAGAAGTGCTTAGACAGAGTCATAGGAACCAGAAAAGACAATAACTTCAGTGATTGATTCCACTTCTAGCAGTGCTGTCTTAAAACCACTGCTGCCCACCTTGTCTACATCTCAATATCTGTGTGCCAAGGTCACTGTCCCTTAGCTCTGAAAACCTGAAATTCCCTGTGAGGATTCCCTCTTCCATCGAAAGGGCCTCAAAGGCAAAACTCTGTGATAGCACTCAGCAAACTGAGTCAATTTGGAGTGTTGTACACACTTGTGTTTTATATTAATTAATTATTCAGGTGACCTGGTCTGTGAAACTTAAAAAAACTTCAATTAGATGATCCTGAATTATGTGTAAGTAATGGCAGCCTGCTGCTGCAGAAGGGGTCCTAGTTTAAACAAGTAAAAGTCACAACCAGCCTCCAAGGCCTATGAAGGTAGGCACTATTTGAACAATCAGGGAGTTTCAGTCCTTAGGGAATGACAATTTTCATGTCAAATAGACACTGATTGTGCTGAAAAACTTAGGCATGAAATGATTAAGTCACATTTGGTGTCATGCAGCCTAGCCACCCTTTTCTGTTTATTTTCTCTCCTTCATATCTTTTCTCCATCTCAACGTCTTGGCTTTTGCCCCTCATTTTCCCCAAAATTATTGTTTTGCTTTTATCTAGGAAGCCTTTCAGATGAGATTTTAAAATTCCTGAGTAAGTACTAGTATATTCTTTCTCTCCCCCAAAATAAATTTGAAATAATTAAAGACAAATATTATGTATTGACAGCATCCATATATGTATTAAAAGATGCATGAAGTGTCATCATCTCCGGCTGTACCTGGTATGAGGATAATGGCATAAGACAGCATCTATACTACGCTATCTTTTTAACAGACTGTGAATAGATTAGTTTCAGACTCTCTCCTTGCTTTTTAACATAGTTTTTAACTTCATTAGAAGTATTGTGGGTGCAAGTCCAAAATCTATTTTTAAATTACTGTGTGAGAAATATGAAAGCAGTATGAACAGACACCCTTTCAAAGCATCTTCAATATTAGATCACGCTAGACAATTGCTTTTAGAATAACTCTTACTTTTCATTGAAATATAATGGACCAGAAACATACATCAGTAAAATGGACCTCTTTTACTTCAGAACTGATACATTCAGACTTCTATATTCTTAGAAGCTTCTAATGACAAAAAGGGGGAAGATGCTCTTGTGATTAAGGCACTAAATTAAGACTATAATTTACTTAATAAAGTATTTTCTATATTGTGAAAAACCATACTACATCTGAACAAATTTAGGATCCAGCTGTGCAGGATACCATGGAACCCCCTACAAAAGGGGGTCCTCGACTGCTAGGCTCCAAATTCTGGGCAGAGTTCAGCCACAGAGGGCTTGTGGGACCTAAGGCGCGTGTTCCCTCTTTTCATCTATTTTATTTTCTTTTTAATTGATCTTTTAATAGTATTATACCCATAAGGAGGTGTTCTGATGTCTAACTATGTACGTATGCAAATAACAAGTGATGCACAAAAAGATCAGCAGATATATAAAGGATAACTCAAGAAAATAAACAAGCATGTTTAACTACCAGAAGAGAGACCACCACTACAAGAATCAAAGAACTTACCTCTCTGGGGAACTGCTTTTTGACCTCTCTGGCTGCTTAACTGAGCACAGCCTGTAGCAAATATAAGGAACTCCTCCCCTTTTGGTGTTTATTACAGAGAAGCAATACTTCCTGCAACACCTGAGTAAATATCCTCTAGGAAAATCACCACAGAATTTGTCTACAGCTAGCTTAGTATTCTTTTGATCATAATGAACCACCATAATGAATTACCAAGGATGTTCCAAAAGCATAGTTATTTATTGAATGCATAAGTTTCTCTGGAGCAGCCCTGAGCTTTGCCAGATATTTTCTTCAGTTGATCAAAAGAGCTCCATAACCCCTTTGGAAGGTCTTAGATGTGTGATCCTTGTAATCACATTTAAGGGGCTGGTTAGCTCAGGAGATTGTTAATAGGATACAAAACCTTTCACATCCAACCCAGATCAGTGCAGATGAAAAGCTGTGACTATTTACCAGCTTCTTCACGACCTAACCCAGTTCCTAAAAGAGAAATATTTGTATTACTTTAACTTCACAGAATGTGGTTTTCAGATTTTTTTAACTGCATGTGTAGTACAGAACATTTGACAAGCAGGAAAATAATTAAAAAGCTCAGTGGTAATTAATAAATCCAATTAAAACTGCAGTCAAAAGAATTTTGAAATTTCCCTCTCCAAAACTGACTTCACAGTCTCAACAAGCCCATAAGCACAGGTGAGAATTTAGTAATCAAAAAGCAGGAATTGCGGGAAGGTAGAGTGACTTAGAAAACTGACAGTTTTTCACTGAGATGTTCCTGTATCAGATACTGTCATTAGACCCAGGAGCTGCAGATCTAGCACAAAAGTATTGCCTTTGGATGGTGATAGCCTAACTCATGCTTATTGATTCATACCCAGTAGGGAAAAAAATTACAAGAAAACATGTGCAAGGCATTGTGTTGAAATTACACATCTGTTTTTATTTCACAGGGTTTGAGGTAGCAAATTTTTAGGGGTTTGCAGGTGTCATTTTCCATATAAGAAAGTTCAAAGTCAGACCCAGTTTGAACTCTTGTCTCAAACTAAATTTTTCAAAGGTGCTCTTAATTTATTTTTTTTAATATTAAGACAACATGTATTGGAAAATTTGGGATAGAAAAGCTTCCACACTTCTAAAAAAATTGCAGTAGAGAAGTTCAGGGACCAAGTGATAACTATAGAGAAGATCTATGCTGCAAAATGTCTTCTAGTGTCAGCAGTTACTTGGAGAGTACCCTTATCCTTTTCTTGGAACACACTGATCACTAAAATAACCTTAAAGGATTTTGCTTACGTGCGGTGATGTCAACTAGTAAGAAGGTGTTGGGACATCTGAGGATTGCTGCTTTCTGCATACCTGGGGGCAACATAAAGTGCCAGTATTGAAAATGTGCTGGTAAAGATCAGGGGTTGTAGTACTGCCATTTCCAAGTGTGCACAACAGATCCCTCAGTCATGGCTTGAAAATTGTGGAATTACAAAACTAAACTAAGCAATAAACAACACCAGTCACGTGGTGTTGGGTCATTTGGGTCATCTTGATAGTTATCTTGTTAATACAGCTGTTCCCAAACTAACTGCTTAGAGATTTCAGATTTGACACTTTGTAGTTTCTTGCAACATATCTTTGAATCAGTTGTACAGAAGGTCTCACATCCTGGAGTAGAAGCACCCGTGTTATGCTGTGCTATGTGTATTTCTTTACAGTTGTATTTCTTCATAGCCCCTGAAGGTTTAGGTAATCAACAGTCTGGCATTAAGCAAAATACCCATTAAACAAATATCACTACTGACACTACTAAACACAAATGTACTTTGTTATATAAATAGGACTGTGAAGCAGTGAAGTATAAGCAGCATCACTGTATTGATAAATGAAGCAGTTAAATTTATGTTTGATATGTGCATGTATTTATTATGTGTGC